TAGGCTTGAGCAGGTTTCCTATATATGCCAAAGTGTGCTTTGTTTTTTGTTAATCCTGATAGGGTTTCACTGAGCATCTCAAAGGATTAAGGATTTTCACCAATTTTGGAAACTTCTTGGTCACTATTCTTCAAAGATTGCTTATTTCCCATTTGTATTCTCTCATCCTTATAATCATAATAATCCTTATAATCTTTTCTTATAATCGTACATATGATTACAATCATTTGTATGTTTGAGTTTTTCATTATGTCCCACATCATTAATGTTTTTTATTTTCATTATTTTTTTCTCTGTGCCTCTATTTGGATATTTTATATTGACCTGTCTTGCATCCATTCATCCTGTATTCCTTTATATTATGACATTAAACTATTTTAAATAGCTTTAATTTCAGATATTATACTCTTTTAGTTCTAGAAGTAATTTCCACTTTTAAATTTCAATTGCCTCGTGAAATTCTCTTTTTGTTTATTTTCTCTTTTGTTACTTGTTTTTAACATATTAGTCACACTTATTATAACATCATTGTCAATTAATTCTAATATCTGGATCATCTGTGAGTCATTTATGTTCTCCATTTTTTCTCTTGCTTTTATTTATGTCATCCAGTTTTACATGTGTATACCTTGTAATTTTTTATTGAATGAGAAATATTTATGTAAAAAGCTGTCCACAGAGTAAACTATCTTTGTTTGTTTGTTTGAGAGAGTCCTGCTTTAAAAATCACCTTAATCCAAACAGGCACTGTGCTTAGACAGGGTTCTTTGAAATCCTGATAAACACGTGGCCCTCCAGAATTTTCAGTTGGGAACTTGGTATATTCTCCACAGCCCCTTCCTGTGGCAGGTCCCAAATTCTAATCTTTGTACAGCAAGACTATTAAAACTTCACTCTATTTCTCAGGAATTTTTCACTTAGGTTTTTAGTTTTCTTCTCTGGGCTGCCACAAGTTTGGCAAGAGTCCTGAGGAGGAAAATCAGCCATGAGCTTCAATCCTCCAGTCTGCCTAAGGCTATTGGAATTACTTTAGGTACCTGGAAAGAACCTTTTGTTTGTTCTCAGACTTAGCAAATTTCCTCAGGGTAAAACTGACTGTAGGAGTCAGTTCCCAACCCCAAGGATTTTCCTTCTCAGGAGCATTAGCCCATTCAGTTCTGATAATATCACCTGCTTTCTTTTGCTTCAAACAGCTAACTTCTGAATTTTAACCAGTTTTTATAGTTGTTTAACGGTGCTAAATAATTCATATAACCTCAAAGTAGAATTCCACCAAATACATGCATAACTTTTAACCTCAGATTATTTAAAAATTTGTAAATTTTGATAGAAAAGGGAATCTTAAAGTGACATGGGCTACAATGCCTTCAGAAGAATTTCTGCCCTCATAACAGCATGTGTTAGGCTCACTATATGCTATGCCTAAAAACAGCAGCAAAAGAATTGTAAAAGATGCACATACAAGTATAATAGAAGTATTGAGAAAAATAAAATAGAAGTATTTGTTGAAATGAGTGTTATTATCAAGATCTTTGGCCTCCATTCTCTATTTTTGCTCTGTAGCAATAGAACTGGCCTATTTTCATAAAGTATACACGTTGTAGAAGTTATTTGTATCATGTTCATTACTAAATTCTAATAATTGAATTTTAAAATGTTGATCTATCCTGTACCAAATTCTGGTGGTGGTTCCTAGCTAGTAAGGAGTCATCCATGCTTTATGAATACACACAGGGATAAGGTGGATTCTGGGTGTTTATTTAGCCCATTTCATTTAAGTGATTATACAAATTGGACTTTCCTGGCATAAATTTTAAAAGTGAACTTGAATTTTTTTGTTGTTAAAACATATTGGTGAAAACTTCAGCCAGATTTCTTACTTGTCATCATACATAAAAGCTCTTTCATTTAAATAGCTAATAAGAAATGATCATTAAAGTTGACTACCATACTTATGTCTTATATATTAGATTGCATTTAATTCTGTCCTCACTTTTATCTCTTTCTCAGTTCAATTTTTAAATTGAATGAAGGCTAAAAATTATGTTTCAAGAATTACTTAAACAGTCACTAATTTTTTAAATTTCATTATATTCTTAGGAAAAAAATGTAATTAAGGGAAAATTGTAAGTACTTAAACTCCAGTAGAATAATACGTGAGATTTAAATATAAATATGTTAGATTTTAAAGAAAGCTCTTCAATTGCTCATATTCTGCCAAAAGCTCAATGAAGGTGTCTTATAGTTATAGCCATATAAATTTAACTAGTTAGAAATCACATAGTCAGCTTACTTGGCTTACTGAACACAACATAAAACAATTATAGTTCATATAATTCATTATCACTCCAATTACAGGGACAAATAACATTTCATACAGATGCAACTTCAGCATGATTGAAAAATGAAATTAACTCGAAATGACTGAAGGTTACATTAAAGAGCAAAATGAAAGATAAACATCAGAAAGAAATTATTTTGCTGATAGACTGTTTATATCTTCAAAATAACATAAAGTGAAAAATCTGAGATCAACTGATAATAAGACTTAAACAGAATAGCCAAGATTCAGAAGAAATTTCCTGATTCTTTTGAAAGGTGGGGAGAAGGAGCAGGAAGACCAAAGGAAATGCACACAAACTACGCTTGGACTTCTATTTGCAGGGCCAAAGGAAGGACAAGAGACATATGAGGCCCTCAAAAGTCTTGAATTCTTTGGAGGAATTTAGGGCTTATTTTAGGTTCTGATATTATTTTTTAAATGATTATATCAAGCAGTGATTTAACAGTTTTATTTAGTGAACAGGATAGAAAATTGTGAGATTTTCTCTTTAGCATTTATAAATGAGAGTTCTTTTAAACAATTTTAATATTAGTATTTATGGAACACTTAAAATGTGTTAGGTAAGTAGCAATCAAATAAATAAGATAATCTCTAGCATACATGATGCTCACAACAAGAATAGGGTCACAATTTAAGTGTATTAATATTTTAATAAACTGCACATTTATATACAGATTGAGAGAAAAAAGTATGTTAAATTTTATGCTCATGGCTATTCGGGGGGCTTAGTCTGGTAGTATAGTCACCAAAAAGGCCAAGATAACTACAAAGAATTTCGGACATTCTGGCTTTGCAAAGAAAAAGTTAAGTGGCAAAGACAGGTGCCAAAAATATACAGAAATTCAAGATTTCATGAAAACTTGAAAATGTTTCACGAAGAAGACAATTTTAAAAGTTCAATAAAATAAAATTTCTTTTCATACTACTTGAGTAATTGATACTTAGAGAAAGATTAATCACCAAGAGAAAGACAAATAAGGAGAAAATACATACTCACTATCTGGTATAACTAAAAATGCTAAATGCAATTAACACCAATAAAAAAGGAACAAACTTAGCACTATCAGACACATGCATAGGTTTGGAATAGTGGTCTGAATATTTACAAAACAATACCACTTCTTAAAAGAAAAGCATTTCAATGATAAGTTGCCAAAATTAATGAGAGATTCACTGAACCAAATACAACACTTAATTGAAAACAAAGCTATTGCTACAGTTGGGATTTTCCTTAACTTCTCTCCCAGTGTCTTGAACCAAGAGGTTGGGGAATACTGGCTTCAGGAATTTGAACTCACCAGTCCCAGAGTGTCCCTTCAGACACACCTCATACTGGTAGCTCTGGGACAGGGTCCCCGTACCGCTGACGTCC